ATCCCCTCATAGTAGAAGGACACCGAGCTGACTGTGTAGTTCTTCCAGCCCCGGCAGCGCAGTGTCAGCATGTCTCCCTCTAGCAGCGCCTGTGCCGGCACCTGCAGCACCAGCCAGTCTGGGGGACAGAGGGGTTCTGTCACAACCCATGGAACAGGGATCCCCCCATCAGGTCACACCGCTGCACCAGGGGTCCCCAATTTTAGAATGTGGTCCCCTCTCTAGGATGCTCTGTGATGCCCCAGACCAGGGGACAGGCTCTGGTCACACCAGGGGGGGACCCATGGAGCGGAGCCCACCCAGAGCCCTCAGGCTCCCCACGGTGCCAGGCTGGGGACACCCAAACCCCTCTCACCATTTGAGACAGTCATGGGGGAGCTGAGCCCGGTGCCAGGTCAGTGACACGTGTAGGTGCCACTCTTGGTGAAAGTGATTCGGTCTCATCCCTGCTGTCCCCAGAGCTGCCCATCTTTGTACCAGTTGGTGGCACCGATGGTCCCCGAGCCCTGGCAGGTCAGTGTCACCCGGTCCCACAGCACTGCCTGCCTCCAGGGGGATCCATGATGAGCTGGGTGATCTGGGCACCTGCGGGTGACAGGGGACACCAGCCTGCCAGGGCCAGCACGGGGCTGGGAACAGTGGGGTGGGTACATGTCATCCCCCGATGACTCACCAGTGAGGGCAAAGGTCTGGGCTGGAAGGGAGAAGGGACAGGGCTGCGCGGGGGTGACACCATGGGTACAGTGCCACCCAGGGCACAGAAACAGAGAGGGGGCTGTCCCCAAACTGTACCCATGGGGAGAACCTTCAGGACTTGTGAGAAAGTGTTTGAGGATGGTCCCCAGAAAGATTGGGAGAGTCCAGGGGACATGTCTGTGTCACAGCCACCCCTGCACCACATCCGTGTGGCACGGAGGCCTTGGGAACAGGGACACTGAGGCCACCCTGGGCTGAGGCAGAACATGGGGACACTGTGGACACCCCGGGCACAGGGACACCATGGACACACCCCTTGCTGGCCCAGGTCACCCCCACCAGCTCCTGATCCCATCCCCATGACCCCATGTCCACGGCCACATCCTCACCCCTCTTGTCCCCTTCTGTCCCTGCATCCCAGTTCCCTTGTCCCTGTGCCCAGAGCTCCCTGAGCCCAAAGGTGCCAGTCCCCACATTCCTGTCCCCACATCCCCATCC